GTTGATGTCTTGCCATTATGTGAGGCCCGCTGTTCTTTCTCTAATATTATGTGGTACGATTGTTTTGCGCTCAGCTGTCCAGACTCCGGACTGAGGGGGGTGCACAACCCTATGCGTAAGAGGAAGACATTGTTGTGGCAGGAATGAATGCACCCCGCTGCTGACACTGACAGCATCTAGAATCTAGAATACAGCGTAAGAGACAAACCAATTGACGAGGACCCTGGGGAAAATGCTGGGCGGCTTGCGATCAACCCGGAACTAAATCAGCAACGAAGACGATGAAGTTCAATCATTTATGCTGCAAAAACCCAGTACTATCGATTGGATCTCGTGCCTCCCCAAGTAGTTCCATATGACCCAGCTGAAACACCCATCGCCTGCGAAGGAGGCACATGATGCACATGTTCAAAGGCTTATCGTGGTGATCGGCCGTACATCATGCTACTCTTGAAAAGACATCAGCTATCAGTAGCAGCTACCGATCATGTGTATTTTGTATATTCAATGTATTGCATTTCCTGTCCTGCAATGAACTCCGGCTGTCTCCATCTAGGGGTGCCAGAGTGACTACATGGTACTAGAATCTCTGGAGGTCTCTACCAGTTTTGTGGCCAAGTGGTTGAGGGGCACCTTGGGTTGATCATCTGATATCAGCAAGCTGCCTCAAAGTTTGTCTATGGAAGCCATGGACGTCAGACCAAGCCCGCGCAAAGGCATCGAACTCATCCAAGGGGTTCAGTGCCATGTCTCTGGCGATGTCAGCCTTAACGAAACATGACGTGAAGTGCCATCTCAAGGGCGCACCTACCTGACCTACCTGGCACCTCCCATATCCAAACAAAACAACCATAGATCGTCAGCTCCTTTTAACCTGCTGGGGTGGAACTGCGGGCTCTGGTCTTAATGCCTGGATCATGAAGGAAGCATATATATATATATAATATGCATAGATCACCAAAGCTGGGGAAAGGACGCGGGTCCACCTCTGACTTGACTGTCGCAGCTCAACAAGCTGCGGTTGAATCAAAGAAACTCTTAAGAAGATGGCATCCGGACTCGCAATGTCCATCAAAATGTCTTCTGGGGCAAGTTGACAAACCTCAGCTCACCAATTTCAGCATACAGCTGTGACAGCTGTGAGCTGCAGTTTTTTCACAGAAGAAACTGCTTCTAGAGGGACCTTTCCGCAGTTGTCCACTTTCCGACTTTTCTCCTTCATTGACCCTTGCCACTGGTCCCTGTAATGAATCACGGCCCCTTCCCTTCTAGCAGAAACACTTTTAATCTGCCAAGCGTCAAGGTAAGAGAGAGAGACACACCTGCGATGGAAGCATTGATGGGCAGCTTCCCTGAGAAAACTCCAAGCAGTTCCACACGGCAAAACACGACACAGAAATGACATATTAGATTCGTTAGATTGAGCAAATTGGAGCCTTAGGCTTCCTTCCCTTACACATAATCAGACTTTCCCAGCTCAACCGTGAGCATTCAACCTTCTGCCATGGTGGAAGTGGGAACCTGCCGACCAGTTGCCAGTGTCCCAATCACTTGGGCCGAAGCACGGTGAGTCCAGCAAAGCAAATTGCAAAAGATTTCCACTTGAAGAATCCTTCCTTTCTAGCAGACACTTCTTAATCTGCTGATTCTGAATCGAAACCCTTGAGCAAACCGAGGAAGATTCACTCTGCGCTTTGCCTCGGCGTTGTTCTACCATGTTCTACCATGAAATCCGAGAAAAGGGTCTCCAAACTTTGGTAAACTTGAACAACTTGCCCTGCCTCAACTGACTTGTGGACAGCTGCAGCATGTGAAGCACCACTCGACGGCCTCCCGGTCATGAGAACCTAAAGAATGGTTGGCATACGCTGGCATCGATGCGCCCTGCAACAAAACAGAACTCACAAAGCAGCGCGTTTGGGTGAAATGCCTCGCAAAGGTCTTCCCAGAATTGCCACGTCCTCCGTTGCTGTTGCGCGGCCTGGCATATTCAGACTGGTTGCCCAATGAATGAATATGCATCTTGGATCATCTTCGAGCGTACATCGAAACATATCGAAACCAGTCCACGAAACCGTCCTTGGTCTTTATTTGAACTGTGGTATGATATCATGGGCACAGGGAGGGAAGTGCTAAAACCAACGGCCCAAAACGTTGCTCAAACCAAAGCCATGGGCAATCATGAACCCATGGCCATCCCATGGCCTTGCGGTGAAACGCGTCTGCTGCTTCCAAGGTGGCCAATGCCCTGAACTGCTGCACCGATGGCTGAGCAGGCACGTTCCGTGGGGGATCAGGGACAACCCAACCCAGGAGTTGGATTTCCACTGCCATTGGCGAGGCGTAGCAGCAGAGGCAGACAGAAAAACTCCAATGTTTCTGTTTGGTGGATGACGGTGCATGCGTGCTGCTGCAAGATAGCGTACTGCAAACATGGTGCATGTGTGCTGCTGGCGCATCCTCCGATTGAGCTGCAAACATCGATTGCAATGACAATGAGAATCGCCCTCTATTCTGGTAGCATCTCAGTCTCCACTTAGAGGCAGTTCATGGATTGTCTGGCCCAGTTCACGTGACAAAAGATTGAAGTCAACAACAGCTGGACGCTCCGCTGTTGCAGAGTGAGTTTTGAAGAATCTACAATACATGCATCACTGCATCACATTGTGGCCCCAAACCACCGCACGTGCGCTTTGCGTGCCTTTTTGATCAAACATTAGTCGCATTAGCTTTCCTCTGCGCAGCATCCACACGTCCACGCGAAGAGGCGGTGTGCTGTTCAGATGCTGTGAGACCACCACCAGCTTGGTCATATTTGAGGTAAAGCGCCCTCTCAAAACTCTCGTTGCCTTAGTGCGAAGTCACAGAGTTGGAAATCAGATCATAGACATATATAGATCATTGAACCAGTCCGTTTCTCATCCTTTCTCACTTCACCTCCACACGCTGTGCGACCGGTCAGAGTCTTGGCTCAGGCACTGACGCTGACACTTCCGGTGGTCCAGAGCCATGGAAAGGACGCCCTGAGGAGATGCTTCCAACGTGTCTTCATCATGATTGCCAATGACCATGGGTTTGGACGCCGTTCTTCCACTCTATGTCACTGTGCTAACTCATGTCACCTGACGAATAGGTTGATAGATGTTGATAATGACAGAAGTGGAGGTGCCAGGTGGTGCCCTTCTTTAAGCCAGCCAAAACTCTCAAACTTCAACCTTGGAGTCCACCATTAGTTGGCTACTTCCACTGCATCACACCACTGGGACTTCATTTGAGCAGGCATGTGCTGAAGGCAGCTCATCAATCCAAACAACGTGACAACTGGATCTACCACAGCAGGAAACTCTAACGGCGGCCTGCCTGATTGAAAGGCATCCGAGAAAGCTCTGCTGAAGAGGATCGCCGAAAGCGTTGACGTCGTCGGCTTACACGGTCAGCGTGAAGGGCATCAACCGACCAAGATGTGAAGTCATCCAGTTCGACAAGAAGTCAAAGACCTGGCGCCATGAAGTGTCCAATGCGGTACGTTTAGCCAACGTTACATCCAACAAGGTGGGTGTAATTGAACCGTAAGCATGAGAAATATTAAGTGACAAATTGGAACAAAATGTCACAAACACCCCCAAAAACCTGTTACAATGAGTGTGCTCTTGTGAAACCATCCAGAAAACAAGGGGCCACATCAGGCATCAGAACCACACACGGTGCGAAATCTGCCAAGATGTTTGCTGATTGTCTACTGGGTCTACCATGTTTGGACCCCGCTGATGTGACATGTTCATCGGGGGGAATCGGCCATAGCAGAAACAAGCAACCACCCACCAAGCGGCGTGTGAGAGAGTGCCACTTGCAGCTTCTGGAAGACCCCCAGTTCCACACTGGAATCTGCTCCTCCTAGTTGCCTCCAAGAGCGAATCACAAAAGGAAAAACAAAGCAAACAGATTGAAGATTGACCAAATCATACCAAAGCCTCCTTGTGCTAAAAACCCGCAGTGAAGAAACACTTGCCTAGGCAATAGTGAACAGCCTTCCATATTCTCCACCCTATGAACTGGGAGCGGCAACTTCCACCTTACCAATCCCAATCCCCTTTGACCCATGCACCATCCTCACCTGGCCGCCAAGCACATGTTTGGCTGAAACCCAGTGGCTGGCCTCGAACTTCAAAACATATAAGCCATGAGCATGTTTCACAACATGTAGTCATCGAATCGCATTGAAATGCACTATCATGCCACATTCCTTCAGTCACTCGGCCTTCACTGGATCCTTCTGTTTCGACACGGTGTTGGGAGGGAGAGGACCGCCATGGATACCACGGCCTCCTGACGGACTGAGCAGCGTCCGAGTTTGGCCAAGGACTCAGTCCGTGACCCGACAGTGACTGTGCCTGTGATAGGCCTTCCGGCATGAAGAAGTCGTCCACGAAGAACTCGACAACGATTTTCCAGGAACACTTGGCTGCCGTCAGTACCATTACGATGGTGGGTACAGCAGATACCACGGAGGTCAGCGTCGTCGACGCTGCCGCTGCTGTGGATGCCGCAGCTGCGGTCGATGCAGCAGCTGTCGCCGCCGCGGTTGTTGCAGCGGCCACGCCTCCGGCCGATGCCGCTGCTCCAGGAGCTGCTGCGGCTGTTGCTGCAACCGCAAACGCACATTCCAGCAACATAGCTGAACGGCTGAAGTTCCAACTAAAGACAACATTTCCGACATGAAACCATTCGAAGTGGTTGTCCATGGTTGTCCAGTGCATTGCAACAATGCAATTTTGTGTGATTTCCCGTGACAACACAAGTCTCTTGAGCTGACTGTGCTGCAACAATCCGTTTGCTGGAAGTTCGGACACCCCTTAACAGCTAAGGGGCGGAAAAATAGACACCCCTTGGAGGGTCCTGGCAAGCTTGCAATATCTTGCATTATCTTGCAATAGTAATTAAGCTGCATGATCTCACATCTGGCCCCTTCGGCAGAGACGAGCGAACTGCCTTATTTTCAGCTGCCGCGAGCGGCGCAGCTGCGGTCGTGCCACTTGCGTAGCTCATCCCTAGCTCATCCCGCCCATCACTGGCCCGAAAGCTGGCCCCAAGGCTTCGGTGCGCGAAGGCGACCCACTCAGACTCGACCACTACCACGATGCCGCCTTCGCCACCTGCGATGTGCGATGCCACGCGCGGTCCATCAGCTTCAACTCATGTCACTATGCACTATGTCATGATAGTGAGAAGAGGTGCAAGTCAACCACTATCACTGATAGATGATAGCGAGAGAAGTGGAGGTGCCTGGAGGTGCCTGGAGGTGCCTGGTGGCGCCCTTCTTTAGTTCACCTAGTTGGCTACTTCCACTTCATCACACCAGAAAACTCGAACGGCGGCCTGCCTGATTGCGTCCATCCGAGAGGTCAGCTGCGCTGCAAAGGATCGCTGAAAGCGTTGACGTCCAATCGGTGGTCAAATGGTCAGCGTGAAGGGCATCAATCGACCAAGGTGTGAAGTCATCCAGTTCGACAAGAAGTCAAAGACCTGGCGCCATGAAATGTCCAAAGGAACTGGTACGTTTAGCCAACACATCCCACAAGGTGGATGTAACAGTAAGCATGAGAAATACTAAGTATAGATCTAAGTGGCAAATTAGAACAACATGTCACAAACAGTTGTGTTCGGTGAGACCTGGTTGGGACAGACATCACACAAAGCAAAATTGGGCAAATGTGGCCTAAGAGTGACACGAAGTGGTCAACAAACTCAAATACAAATGGATGTACACATAAGGGAAGCTGAAGGAAGCCATGGGCAAGATACCAACTAACTCTCTCCACGTTGAGGCGAAATGTAGGCATCTGGTCCAGGTGGGGCCGAGTCAGTCCCTTCATTGTGCGAGTTTTTTGCGCTCAGCTGTTCAGACTGAGGGGGGTGCACAAATCTTGTGCGTGAGAAGAAGACATGTTACTAGATTTATGTTAAGCAATGGCAGCCATACATGACCAATCATCAAATAACCATATTTGTGAACAAAATGCGAAAATAAAGCGAACACAATGTGAAAATAAAGCGAACAATGTGAAAAAAACGCAACAACACGCGCAAAACTACATTGCTGTTTGTTTGCTCTACTTTTGCTGTTGTTTTTTTTGCTGTGTTGTTGCTTTAAAATGTTATTTTGGCTCCTTGTATCTATGGCTGGCGTGCCGAACGTAATACTATACATGTTGTGGGAATGAATGCACCGTGCTGACAGATCTGACAGCATCGACAGCATACAGAGTGCGCAAGAGACAGAGCAATGCGAATTGCTGATAATTTATAAGTCTGACAAGGGCTTTTCAGCCTGTCGCTGCACGGAAATGGTTGAAGAGGACCCCGGGGAAAATGCTGGGCCTTGCGTTCAACCCGGAACTAAATCAGCAACGAATCAAGACGATGAAGTTCGATGCTGCAAAAACCCGGCACTTTTGATTGGAGCCTGGCCTCCCCAAGTAGCTCCACTTCGTCCAGCTCAAACACCCATCGCCTGCTAAGGAGGCACATGATTATGCAATTGTAAAATACGTCAGCTACCAGTAGCAGCTACCGATCATGTGTAATTTGTGTATCCAATGGATTCCGGCAGTCTTGCGGTCCATCTAGGGTGCCAGTTTTGTGGCTACATTGACTACATGGTACTAGAAGTCTCTGGAGGTCTCTACCAGTTTTGTGGCCAAGTGGTTGAGGGGCACCTTGGGTTGATCATCTGATATCAGCAAGCTGCCTCAAAGTTTGTCTATGGAAGCCATGGACGTCAGACCAAGCCCGCGCAAAGGCATCGAACTCATCCAAGGGGTTCAGTGCCATGTCTCTGGCGATGTCAGCCTTAATGAAACATGGCGTGAAACAATCTCAAGGGCGCGCCTACCTCCAACATCCAAAGCACAAAGCCTCTCTGATCCTCCGTGTTTAATATAGATCCTCAGCTCATGTACGATAGGTTTTGCCTCAGCTCATGCTGCTAGTTGCTAGTGAGTTGCCTGGTCTAAATGGTTTGGGTCTTTTTGGAACCTCGAATTCTAAGAGGATGACCGAAATGATGACCCCTGGGGCGAGGACGTGACCGGGGCAACGGAGAAAAACCACCCGCTCTCGACCGCTCCGAGCTCCGAGCTCCCGTTGGATCAAAGAAACTCTTAGGAAGATGGCATCCGGGCTCGCAATGTCCATCAAGACGTATTCTGGGGCAAGTTGACGAACCTCAGCTCACCATACTTGCAGCATACTGCCGAAGAAACTGCGTTTCACGGAAGAAACTGCCGAGGCAAGTCACCGTCATTGACCCTTGCCACTGGTCCCTGTAAGGAATCACGGCCATCCCTCCTCCCCCTTTTAGCAGAAACACTGTTCAATCTGCCAAGCAACAAGGTATGAGAGGGACACACCTGCGATGGGAGCATTGATGGGCAGCTTCTCTGAGAAGACTCCAAGCAGTTCCACACTGGAATCTGTTTCTCGCAATTGCCTCAAATGAGAGAAGCCATGAGAGAACAATCAGATTCAGAGCACATTGGAGCCTTGTGCCTCCTTTCTCTAATTCATCATTCAGATTCATCATCTCTCATGTGGAAGTGGGAACCTGCCGGCCACCTGCCAGTGTCCCTCCCTAGGTCCCGATCGTGGCCGAAGCACGGTGAGTCCAGCAAAGCAAATTGCAAAGGCGGAGGGATCCCGGCATTGATTTCCACTTGAAGAATCTTTGGTCGCAAACGCTGAGCTCGACATTCCTTGATGATCGGCCCATCATAGGAGTCGATGTCTACCTCTGCCCAACGCAGCTACACATTTGGACGACACAAGCGTCTCGTGAAAGCCGCTGACCAACAGTTCACCATGAGCATGGCATTCTGCAACTATTAACATGTTAATTCATATATCAGTATATGTGCCTCCCAATAAACAAATAAATATATATATATATGTTGACATTCTTTTTCGAGATGACTAATTACGTGAGAGTGTCTGTTCGGGAAATGACTCACTCCTCTTTTTCACAAAACAGCGGATCGGACGGCGTGTGGCGTGCCATGTGGTGCAGTGCTGCATGTGCCTTCAGAACATCGAGGTCAGAGCGCGCAGATGGCGGAAATCCGGACAAAAGCCTTGGGGGACCAAGAAGGAAAGCCTCTTCTTGTGGTTCAACTCTCTCTCTCTCTCTCGCTTAGCTCTCCAACTGAACCTCCACTCTATTCCACATTTGCCATCAGACATTCTCGTAGCAAATCAGCGTCATTCTGCACACATATGCACAAGCAAGTAAGCTCTATTTTGCAGATCCAGTAGCAGCTTCAGATTCTGAGTCGAAACCCTTGAGCACACCAACTTCACCCAAGGAAGATTCACTCTGTGCTTTGCCTCGGCGTTGTTCTTGCCAGCCGGAAGGCAGCACAGCCAGTCTCTGTATCCGCCCGTCACTCTAGGACACCTTCTCGACGAACCTTCCCACGACTACTGGTTCCTAGTAGCTTCTTGTTACTACTAGTAAGGCACCTGTTACTACTAGTAAGGCACTTGTTACTACTAGCGAGGCACTTGTTACTAGTAGCTTCCTAGTCCCTGCTGCCTTCTGACCAAACTGTTGATAAACTTTTGGGTCGATGACACCAAGACCGAGCTACACACAGCTCCTCGTCTGCCTCAATGGCCAAAGCCCCTCCGCCGGCCTCTGCATGCAGATGTCGCGGGGGAATGTTGCGGGGAATTGTGAGGATGTGTCAATAGGAGTTTCCCTCATCATCACCAAGGTTTAGTAGGGCTCAACGCTTGCACAAATGTCCAAGCGTCGACTGCAAACAAGAAAACTGCCCCAATCAGCTGAGCAAATCTCCCATCCATAAGTCTCTGTGTGCCCTCACCGCGTGCTTTGCACGCCTTCACTTTCTCGGAGCGTGCATAGTGTGCCAGGGGATCATCCGAAAGGCCATCGTTGGCGCCAATGTTCACGTAGCTGCCCGACAGCATGGTTCCCGCCTTTTCGATCGAAGAGGGGAGGCGGCAGCGGCAGCATGGGCGTGGTGATCGTGGTGCAATGGATGTTAGTCAGGATATCATAGTACGGCAACGGCGAGAAACATATCTCTGGGCTTGGGCTCCAGTTTCGTCATTGACCAAATATATCCCAGGTCAATGGACCAAACCTGGAGGAGTTTGAGGGACACGAGAGAGACTCCACTCAATTGTGATGGGTGGCCCTTGGTTGTTCACCTGTCCTTCTTAGATTCTTGATGTCCCTCTTGTGAGTCTGGTACGTCTTTCACTTGCCAAGGTGCCGTCTCCAGCTGTTCCAAGAAGTAGCTCACATTCTGTGAGATCTGCCTGTCGAAATTGATCGAACAAATGTTTGTTCAAGGTGTTTTGTCCATTTTTGTCGACTCCAATCTTCCTGTGTCGATTACCTCGCTGGAAGGCTTCTTACTGTCGTGCTGCTGAAGTAACTTCCTACAGCTCCAAAATAATCCTGAAGAATGCACTACCTCATCAATATCATCAATTCACTCACCATCAACACACCTGTCTGGCTTGAACTCCTGGCATCTTTTCCTCCGACGCCCGAGGTACCTGCCTTGGTTGGTCCAACAACTGAGTCATAGCTCAACAGCGCTGGCCTCTCAAAGGTCGGTGACCTCGTGACATGGCGGCGGCTTCCAGCACGGAAGCGATGCGCCTTCCTGCAGCTCGAAAACGGCACTCAAGCCATCCACCGGGGGTCGTATTCCCATTTCATGGCATGATCATGCATGCATTCATGCTGTTTGAACAAATGGACGTGCCTCAAAACAGTCTAGGTTTTCGCGCTCATCCGCGCCCAACACGCTCATCTTCGCCGTCAAGCCATCCCTGCCGGTCTCTCCCCATCATATTGCCTTCTCTCCACGTTCCGATGCCGGCTCGCGTTGCCGCGGAACCACCGGAGCGCTTGGTGGATGTCCTGGCAGCGCTTACGCCGACGCCGTGTCCGCGACTCGGCGGAGTTCGGGGAAACCAATCCGCACTGCCGGACCTCCACGGTCTCCGCCCAGGGGCTCCGCAAGGATTTGATCTGTCCTGCGACGCCGAAGAAAGCGACGCCCGACGTGGTGGGGTGTTCAAACCACCTGAAAAAGCATCGAAGACACTCCATGCGTCACGTGACTCGTCACTCCTTTGGGTAGAATATATGCTTCTGGGTTGACCTTGGTCAATGCCGCCAATGCCCACATCTGACGGCACAACTTCTGTTCCATTGGCACCCAGCAACGATTCTGAGCTCATGTCATACCCTTCAAAGCGCTGGTCTGACAAACGGGAGGCGAACGCTGTTGTCCTGGAAAGTGCAAGGCTAATGTCGCCCAGGCAGCATGTGCAAATGATCGCAAACTGCAACTCGTCTTGAACCGGTACTTCAGCCATGGCATCGCTACTAGGAGCTACTAGCAAGGACGCTACTAGGGCTCCTGGCATTGCTATAGGGCTCCTGGCCTTACTACTGGGAGCAAGGACGCTACTAGGAGCTTTTTTGCGCGGGCTGTATTTCAGCCATGATCTCGACACATGGTGCCTGGCTTGGTTTCCAAACTGCTCGCTGTGAGGACTTACTGGGCCATAGTTGTCCCTGCCTGCCACCAACCACCACATTCACCTGCACCAGGCGAAACAACGACTGCCAGCATCGGAGGCCGTGTCACATCATGCTCACATTCCTAGAACTGGAGCTTCAACATGGCAGCTCTTTGGCAGCTCCGGGCAATGCTTGCAAATTGAAGCGGCACCTGCACTGCGTCGCCGGCCATTTCGGGCAGCCAGAAAACCGCGTCGCATGAGCCGCATGAGAACGCGGCTAACGCGGCTAAGGCCGGTTCACGAGCGCTGACCGGAGATGCTGCTCCACGTCTCCCGATGTCACTGGTAAGACTTGAACCCTGCTGGTTTCTCTGCTGGTTTCTCCGATCTTCTCCAGGGCGATTGAGTGTCGAAACCTGTTTGAGTTGAGAAACCTGTTTGCATCTCCCAACCGCCGGGGGGTGAGACGCGTCAGGCGTTGGAAAACCCGAGGTCTGCGGGGTCCACCGCCTAAAGGGTCACGACACGGGCAAAGAAGGGGTCACTGGTGCCGCCGACGGCACAACATAGGCCTACTCAGAAAAACCGCCCCATGGTTTGAGTCTACTCCTGTGCTGGTGGCCAAGCCAATCCCGCCCAGCCAAGAACATAAAGATATGATTAAGATATGTAATTCTTATGCATCGCCGTGTGCTGGAGCAGGTGCTGCATGCTGAAACCAGCACATCAGGAACAACCCTCTCATGGACTTTGCAAGAGAATACGTAGGTCAAACCCAGATCATCTAGATCCGTTGTAGCAACATGTCGTTGGTACTGTCGTTGGTCAACATCAAGTCAAACACAACAACAACATCCCAAGGCATGCCAAGACATCACGGCGAGACGCCATGGTTTTCTTCCTCCGGCCATTCGATCCAAGGACCTGCAATGGATGAAACACAAGGGGGTCATGAAGGGAGCTCGAGGGGGCAATGGATGAAACACAAGGGGGTCATGAAGGGGGCTCGAAGGGGCAATGGA